TCAGACAGGTTTCTGCACGGAACAGCAAACTGTCAGTGATAGTAGGGAGTTTTAGCAACGACGACGGCGACGGCAGCGAGACCGTCAAAACAGCAATAGGTTTATTGAGCAAAACAACAGGTTTGCACGTGCATCACGCTTTTCTGTACATTTCTTAGCCGTCACTGCACGACTACGACGTGAAAATGCCTAATTTCACGTTTTATGGAGGACGTAAACAAGCGACAGCGAAATTTTCTTTCTCTTTCTTAACTTGAATGCGGTCCCCAAGAAATCAACTCTAGAGAAATTTGCCTACTTTAGACATTTTCAGTGAATTGGAATAAACGCGAAACAGTTTGAAAAACGCCAATTCATTTTAAAAGTAACGTTTTAGCTGCCGTCGCCGTCGTCGATGCTAAAACTCCCGAGTGTAGCAACTAAAACGGCGAGAGCGACATAAATACTTTCGTGTCCATCGTTTGGATTGGATGAATCTATCTTTCAGGAGCTCAGCGTTTCCATAGTTACCCAAAGTATTTTTAATGCTGCGGTAACGGACACTTTCCTTGAGTCTAGCAAAACAACGAATCGGTCGGCATGTTACTAGAAGATGCGCTAATTATGACAAATTATAATAAGTAAGAAGTAAATGCAATTAAATGTATTATATTGTTGATATAAATAACCAACAAAATCGCCGCTTTTGATGGAACTTACTTTGTGTGTTTCTCTTATATGTGCACGCACTTTAGAATGTTGTCAGACAATCCGATAACAGCAATCGAACCAATGGCATTTAGGCTTCCTCTCGTCCAATCATTGACACTGTAAGCTTATTTCTTCCCTACAGTGGGTATTTTGTGTTATTTTAGTACATACTGGCCTAGTTGTGATACGCAGAATTTAGACCATTTACAACAAGCAGTAGCAAGGGTAATTTACGACGCTATGTTATCTGGTATACGGTATCCCGAATAGTGTAATAGATAAAAGCCGACATGGGAAAACCAATCGACAAATCGTTAACTGTTGATATTTACGTTTTGATTGATATTAATTGATTGTATCGGTCAAGATCGATAGAGATTTATGGCCAAAACTGTTTTCGTTCATAGCGCTAAGTGCAAGGGCCTGAAACCGGAAAACCAGGACTACCCTTTCAGATGTTCCGTTGCTCCAGGAAATTTTGCCCTGTAACGACCGGATTTTCCGGAAACTTTTTGTAAATGGTAAACAACCGATTATTTGAAAAATGAATCTGCTAGTAGTCCTAGATTTCAGATTCATCTCTGCATGCCTTCCAATTAGCAGTGAATTGACAAGCGAGGTATTTATGAGATGTCTGCCAGCTAGCTCAGTTCGCTTAAATTTGATTCAAATGCCTTCATAAAGATTTTATCCATTTAAAGATTTTGAATCTAATCAAACAATGAGAAGCTTTACTCAAAAATTCTCGACTCATTACGCCTTCCGGAATGCAAATTTGAATCTGACACTATCTAGTTGGGCAAAGGACTAACGGACTGTATTGTTTTCAATATTCATATAAATTTTGCCCTATTGTGGCCCAAACAATGATTAAAAACAGTCAAAATGTTGTTAAAAACACAACTACATTCAAAAGGAGTATCCATTTTTTTCTCTTTCTGACAGATTCTTGTTGCGAACGAAACTTAAGACATTGAATCCTGAGTCTATTATCGGCAACAGTATGACTGGATCACTACATCTCAGCGGGCTTCATGGTCTTAACTCAACCTTGTAAGACGACGTGAAATGAATTTAAGTGCACTTTTCCCTTTTCCACTGTCTTGAGTACGTTAATTTTTCCAATCAATGGAAGAGAAGGTCACTGAGGTGGAACAGGATGATAGCTTGAGTGTAAGCCGCTTCCTTGAGGGAGGGTTTGGGGGGAAGCCTAGAAGAGAGACGTGAGAAAGCCTGATACTAAGGTTGCATTCCTTTTAGCCAATCTAAATCCAGCTTTTGCGATCGAAAATTCGATTTTTTGTTGCATTAAGGACCAAACCAATCTATGATTGCAATCCGCACGATCTACCTCTGAACGTGGATCGTTCAGATTGGTATCTCAATCTGGTTTCAGATCTTTGTTCCATTTAATGAAACTGCTTTTCGATCGCAAAAACGAGCTCGTTCATCAGTAAACATCGTGACCCGCCGTGTTACACGGCAGGTCAAGGTTAGCTCAGGCAAAAGTTATTTTTCTATGCCGCTAAAGGATTGTAGTACATTTAACTCAAGTTTCACTATCACTCTAAATCCGTTAGGAAGTGAAAACGTTTAGATTTTCTCACTGTAAAACCATACTGTCCAATGTCTGTTTCTGTTTAGAACGCGCTTCTCAGCGCTTAAGAATTCGTAATTGTCTTCTGAATTTTCTTGAATCAAATTCCAGATAATTTTAAGTTGATGAGTTCCAGTATGAACCACCACTAGTTAAGGAGCTAATTTGCTTTCCGTTTCTCCACGAGAAGATGCTTAACCTAGCAGAAAGAAGTAAAAAAGGATGCGTTGAAATTAAGAAGAAGATAGAAGCGCCGGCAGGCTGCTGCTGTATGGATCAATCTTATTTCAGATTTTTGTTCCAGCTAGCACGAAAATCCAAACAATCTGGATTGTCCAAATCCGAAAAAGGTTTGGCTAAAAGGAATGTAACCTAAGACTAGAACAGGAGGTCATCATCACGAATCCTTTCCGCTTCAGTGGTTAAAATAATGACCCGCTGGTTCTAGAGCAACGTAAAGGTGCATTAATTCGGGTAATGCCTTTACTCTTCGGCCTACCTTCGCTGTTAAGCCGCGCTTGGTTGATTTATTTACTTGTTAACTCGTCAACTCCGTTTTGGGGCATCGCAGTTTAGTTTAGTGAAAATATTGTCTGGCAAGATCACAGCTTTATAATATCCAACACAAATTCAAAAATATATCTGACTTTCTCTCACCTTCATTCATACGTGGATTCTACTTTTTTAAAAGTTTTTTTTGTCTTGTTTGTTTTGGCTCTTTTCAGGGTGATGGAAAACAGGACGCTGAGAACACTGAAATATATTTCCATCAACAACGTCCTATCTCCTCTTCGTTGCGTAATATATCTGTCAGTATATTTAAATTTATATTCAAATATATGTCCCGGTCTTTTAAGACAGTTCAAACTCCGCTAATTAGAAGTGAAACTCGAATTAGATTCCTGATCATCCTGCAGAATCTCAGTGCTTTCGTAATTTAAAAATGTGTTGAAAAATTAGATGTAGAAGTAAACTTGGCTTAAAAGAAAACGTGTCATTGGAAGATCTAACGCCAGTGTTGTTCCAGGAGAGATGGTATTTTGATTCGTAAATCAGAGAATTCACGGATTTATAAACTGATTAATAAACATAGAGGAACTGAGGCGCCTTGAACCGTCGGAGAGTAAACGGACAAGTGTTACGAAGACTGAGTGTAACTAGGGGTTTAAATTTATGATTAATTCCTGAGAGTGAACAAATTAAATGCCAGGTAAAAGTATCCTCTTATATATTATATAAAATGAAAATTCTTATGTTGACTCAGAGAAGAGAAGTTTCTCATATTACTTAATACTCAACTCCGAACTGTTGATTTTGTAAAGTACCTTTTAATCTAAAACACAGTTGGTTCAATATCAGTGAAAAATTTAATAGATAGGAATGGTAATTACTATGAATATAACAGTAAAAAAGAGCTGGTCCGCCCCAACTATCATGTAAGCTACTTGCTGACCCCGTCAACGAATGTGATGTATTTGTATATAAACCGTTTATTTAAAGCTATTTAAATTGCTTTCCTTCTTTCGTTCGTTCTTTCGTATCATACTTTGTCTTGTCTAGAAACCCACACGAGTCGCAAGCGGAAAAGATCGTATTAAGATTTACTACCGCAACCTATGAGGAAAAACTGACAACTGCTCTTTTGGCCTCGGGATTCAAAGAAGTGCCTGTAGATATACGGAGACTTGGTGATCATGATCCTAAGGCTTTTTTACCATGTGCCCGTGGTACATTCTCCAATATAACTTCTCAAGGAGCTGAAGAATGCATATCATGCCCTCCAGGTAACTTAGACCTTGTTCAAACGTCGAACCAAACTTAGATCATCTCCGGGACCAACATTCATCTTCACATGCGAGGAACTAAACAAATAAATGAAGACGGAATCCACCAGAAAATTGAGTAATTTTAATTTTCAGTGGACAAAACGTTGTACCAGAATAATTTAAAGAATATTGCATTCTTTTTTACATTTGGGCTCAAGATGTAATAAATCATCTGTAGTAACACCAAAGAAAATTTTTCATAGAATAGACCACTTGCACGTACTACTACAACCAGAATCCTTCAGGGTTTTGCTTTCTTGTGCAAATTAGGGCTTTTGTTATTTAAACCTCGCTGGGATTACCAAATTTAAATATGAAAGGAAAAACGCAAGGGATTCTGGTCCTAGTAGTAAAATGACGCCATAGTGCAAATGTTCCGAGAAAATGAATGTCAAATTTCCCAAGAATTGTGATCACACAGGTAAAATTCTGAAAATTTCATGTGTAAGATGTAATTCCGTGAAATTTGACATTCATTTTTTTGGGCTCCCATGAGAAATTTTTTTTGGGTGTTACTATAGATAATTTATTACATCTTTAGCCCTTGAAAAATGTAAGAAAAAATGCAATTATTCTGGTACAAGATTTTTGTCCACTGAAAATCAAAAAATTACTCAATGTCCTGGTGGATTCCATCTTAAAAATTTGTATTATACGTTATATTTAGTCTCGTTTGGCTAGAATTACTTTTTGGTCTGATTCAGTTGATTGGTTCGACGGGTCCAAAGTTCGACGTCTGACCCAACAGACGATTAGTTAAATTAGGACCTGTTTACATGGAGCTGGGGAACCCCAGATAGGTGAGGTAACATATGGCGGGTCACCCCATTTATCATGTAAACGTGATCAAATTAAAATGAGTGATTATATTGACAGGCCGGTTACCCCACCTAAGCGGGTTACCTCACCTACCTGGGGTCTCCAATCTCCATGTAAACAGGCCCTTATTATCTAGGTCGACAGAAATTAGAGTCTAGTTCTTTCCATGAAAAGTTCGACGTTTGGCCGAAGCATTAAAATTTTAAATTGATTGCAGAAATAGTCGTGGCACGCTCATTGTTATAGACAGTAATTTTCCATGGTCTATACCCACTCTTTTATAGAATGAAGTGAATGCGCAAGGCTTGAATGGTTTGGCCATGATCTATTAGACAGTACAGACACACGGTTGACGTAACAGCAAACTTATTTGCATTGTTTTGTCCAACATTCCGAACAGTTTTGAAAAAAATTTGCGAGATTATTTTGGATTTTGAAAGTAAATGCCTCAAAAAAAGTTTAGTAAAAGCGTTGCTTACAAGCAAGGAAAACGAACAAACCGAGACAAAAAGAGTTCTTGGCGATATGAAAATGCCTGAACGAGAAGTTTTAATAACTGTTTACATCGTGTGTCATCGCTACGAGAGACTCGCTCGCTATGCGCGGTCATTCTACTTTGAGCAAGTGAAGGCCTTGAAAAGCCTTTGGGAAAATTTGAGTGCGATTTGAAGATAGTAAGGAAGAAAAGGGACGAAACGTAGCGTTTTTATGACTTGGAAAATATTAAGACTAGCACAAATCCATGAACAGTCGTCGAGCAGTACGAGGCAAGATTGTAGTTATTATTATTATTATTATCATTATTATAATTATTTATCTGTTTATCTTTTTTTTCTTTTCATTGTATAAAAAGAATAGATCCCAAGTTGCCGAGTATCAGTTGAGTTAATAGATCACAGAAGACTTCAAAATATGGCCTTCGGCCCATATGCCACCTTTTTTTGTTCCTACCGAATTTTAACATCATATTACCATTTTAACCATAATATAATGTACCTTTTTTGTTTCCTTTCAGGGGGATTTTACTCCGATGACGTTGGATATGTTAGCGTAAGCTGCAAGAAATGTCCAAACGGTTCATTTGTTGCCCTAGATAAAGCACCTGGAAAACAAGTTCAGGACTGCAAAACCTGTCCTCTTGGTAGATGAACACATGATAATCAGTATCTTTCTATTCAATTTTCATTATCCCTGTTAGGAGGGACGGTCAGGAAAAATCAAGAGTTGAAAAATCTGTTTCTTTCATTGTTTTACTCATCGATACATGCAGCTCTTAGGTAGATAAGAAACTTTATGTAGATTTTTTTCGCCAAAATCCTTTTATTTGCGGGAAAAAAAGAATATAGGTTTTCGTGACAGGAGTTTAGAATGACCTCATTTTTAACCTGAAATTCGCTTACATTAACTTTCCTTGCGTTCACAAACCAAGCAGCTGGGAGACATTTGGACACCTTTCATCAACAGAACAACTATTTCTTCTTTCATCGGAAGATTCCTCCCGGCCAATAGCAAGACTTTTTAAACTGAAGTTATTCAGAAATGAGAGAAATTGTTTTCACAATGACAAGAACTTACGTCTTGCTGCTAATTTTTGACTTCGCGAATCTTCGCGCCTTTGATTGTTAACGTCATGTTAGTTTGGTGCAGAACGCTTGGCCATAAAATCTCAAAAATTAATTCTGTTTAAAATTGTCTCTTACGCTATCGTCCTTAGGAACGAACAGTGACGCACATGCTGGATTACGTGCTTGTGAATGCTTAGAGGGACATTATCGGACTCATATGTTTGAACAGTGTCAAAAATGTACAGAGGGACTAAAATGCCAAGATGGCTATGCTACGTTGCAATCTGGCTATTGGTGGAAATGGAAGAACAACGTCCGTAAACATCGCTATCGACATTTTATAGCCAATCTCTTATCATCTTCCCCATCATTTGATAAAGAGGACGTGCAATATGCGTATCCCCTACCAACTCCATATAAGTGCCCAGGAAAAGAGTCTTGCAGAGGTGGCATGGATTCTATTTGTAAGGATGGTTACAAAGGTCCACTCTGTGATGTGTGCACAAAAGGATACTTTAAGCAATTTCATCAGTGCAGGAAATGCCCAACAAAGAAGTGGATAGTCGCCCAGATGTTAATATTTGTTTTAGTTATTTTGACAATAATAGCAGTTTGCGTTTGGACAACCAAAATAAAGGATAACAAGGGGGAGGGGAACACTGTGGCAGACTCTTTTCTGTCCAAAATAAAGATCGCAATTGGATTTTATCAGGTCACTAATGGTTTACTAGAAGCATTCTCATACATTGAATGGCCAGAGTCCGTACAGGTAATCGGCAAGTATTCTGAAACACTCCAGCTAAACATACTTGAGATGACTCCAATTAACTGCGTCTTTAAGGACCTAAACGTGGATGCTTTTGCAAACTTACTTTCCATGATGGCAGTTAATTTTGCCACTGTCATCTGTGCGGGCCTATGCTACCTTGTAAGAAAAGCTGTTGTCTCAAGTAAAGCAGGAATGGTCGACGACGAAAAGTCCAAAAAGATATCACAGTCTAAAGAAACCGTATACAAAAATTTGTTCTTTTTCTTGTACATCACCTACCTTAGCACGTGTTCCAAGACAGCAGCTGTTTTGCCCCTTGCATGCAGGGAAATTTGTCAAGACGAAGATGAGGACTCGTGCACAAAGTACCTGAAAGCCGATTACAGCATACAATGTCATGGTCCTTTGTTCAATAAATTGGTTGTCGGAGCATACGTTTCATTGGCGTACGTTATTGCTCTTCCTGCCGCCACATTCGTAATCCTTTGGAGAAAACGAAGAGTGATAAATACCAAAGAAGACATCAGAGGATGTAAAGATACAGCCCCTAGCACTGAAATAATCAAGGGGCTGCAATTTCTCTACGAAAACTATACAGCACGCTCCTGGTACTGGGAACTAATAGAGACTTCTCGCAAAGTAATCGTCACATCTGGTTTGATACTCGTGGGGCAGGAAAGCAGATCATACATTGGCTTAGCGTGGGTCATTGCTGGCATATATGGAGTGTACTTTGCCTGGAATCGTCCGATACAAGACGCCTTTGAAAATCGATTGATGACCGCATCCATCGCTGTTACAGTTTTCAACTTGGGTGTTGGGGCGGTCAGTAAAATTCCTACAGAGAATGTACCTTAAGCGACCGACGTTTACATTGATACTGTCATTTTCAACATATTAGTTCTTGGAGCAAACACCTTGGTCATCGGATTAATTGCCTGTAAGAGTATTATAATTAAGATTATTATTATTGTTACTATTTTAATATAGATAGATTGTTAGATCATTGTTATTATAATTAAGTCATTACGACTGATAGTATAATTGTATCAATAACAAATTCTTGAATCTGATTGGTTCTTAACAGCCCATATTTATAGTTTAATTTTGCTATTGTAACTCCAAATCTGTCCGATTTGAGTTGTCCGATTACCGGGAGCTTGTAATCGGGTAGTTTAAGAACCAATGAGAATCAAGTAGCAAATGCCATTAGCCAATGAAATTTAACTACATAGCACATCAATCAAAATCAATGAGAAAATGGTGACCAGGTAAGCTGTCCAGCTTCTAATGGAAAACAAAAATGGATGAAACTAACTGGTCCAGTGACTTTTATTTAGATATTTTTTCTTCAGACTTTGACAGCTTGTTAAATACAAAACAAAAATGTAATTTTTCTGTTGAAAAGTTCATCATTCGGTCGGGCTTCCACATTCCGATAATTTGATCCAAAGTTGTAACTGATCATGTTTTTGCTTTGGAATCTTTCTCTTACGTTATTAAATATTCAAAGACTGAGATTCTCGCATTTTGTTATTGACTCAAGTAACTGGTAATAGGACTGGTAATTTCAAATTACTCGCCCGATTACCCCCTGAATTGTACTCCACTCAGTTCTATTTCCATTACTTATAACAATTATTATTATTATTATTATTATTATTGTTAATATTATTATTATTATCATCATCATTAATATTATAACTGCTGTTATTCAATTTTAATATTTGTGTGGGCTTTTTTGTTTGCCTACCTTTGACAAACTCGTAAAAAACAAATTAACTTAATCGTTCCTGCAGGTACTCACGTATATTACATCGTCTGCATTGTCCTATAAATAAACTCAAACGACAAGAAATCGTTGAAGTTCAGTTGCCAAGTCTTCAAATAATCAATATTACAGACATTCATAGTTTGTCTGGGTAAGAGACACTGCTTACGTTTTCCTAAAAATGATCCAGGCAACTTGCTCTTTAATGCGGACATTCCAGTCTAATCTACTCAGTGAGAAATTCTGTGAGAGGTTTAAAAGCCCACACACTGTTGAGACTGTTATTAAAGAGGGGGGGACGTACTGGTCTATCTCAAATTCACATCCAAATTGAGGGGCATTCATAACTCATTACTTCATTTATTGTAACCTGCAACACAGACAGACTCCCTAAACCGTATTGAAAATTTTCCCTGTAAATCCCTGATGGGGGATTGACAAACATTGTGCATTTTCAAGGAAACGGGGCACATAGTGCGTAAACTAGAAGCAATCGATATCTGGTGCTTAATCTCGCTTGTATACTTACAGTTGAAAACATTTTACTTCTCAATCGCATAATTCTAATGAGATTTCTGACGGTCAAGTGTTCGGATTCCTTTCAGTTCAATACATGCTGCACCTGTATGCCTATCTTAAGGAATGGTATAAAAATCCACAGTGGTCTTTCTCGTGCTGTCTAGCGCTGATCCTTCCCTTTCTCAGTCTGCCCGGGGATGTCAGTGGCATTCAGGGAGCAAATATAATGAGTAACCAATTAGAAACTGGAGACATCGACATGCCCACTATTACCAATGCCGTGCAAGACAGTGGAGCTATTGATATATCTCTCGAGGAAGGCGAAGAATCCGATGATAGCCTTCATCAGGATCAGAATTACATTCACACAACCACCCAGTTAAAAACTGAGCAAATGGAAAAGCCAGCACAAAGCACTCTGGCGCAAACCAAGGAGGCTTCCAAAATCAGTTTTGAAGAAAAGAAACTAGAGGATGATAACACGAAGGTAACAGATATTATCCACACTGCCAGTCAGCCAAAGGGCGGCGGAAAGCAAATGGAGGCTTTTGCGCTTCTCTCAAATCACTGTTCGTACAAGTGTCATCAAGGCACCCAAACGGCTCTTTGTTGCATCGGAGATGTACGATTCAAGAAGAAGGACACAATTCAAATGTAAGTACAGTGCAATAAAACGTACACTTAGAAGGTTCGAAATAAATTTAAGCGGCATGCGTCATAGCCTGAATTTCAGCTGTCTCCTCGAAACGCAAACGCTCACGACGAGACCCGGAACGGCTGAAATTCAGGCTACATGCATTAAAGCGAAGTTAGTTTCAGTGTATTTATTTATTTATTTATTCTTGCAATTCATCGTATCATTTATTGACTTATTTATCACTAATCTGTCTATCATTTATTGTATTACTTTCTGTTACTCACAAGTACGATCCTTATTCCAAAATGGTAGCAAATGAATTCAAGGTGACTGACGTGTACAAATTGGATTTTATGACTGTTGGTATGTATATAAAATGCTAGATCGTAAGGCTCGCCATCTAGTGACGTTTTCAAGGGTATACAAACCGTAATGGCTTAGTTAGTTGTAAGCGTGCTAATACATGTTATTCAATACTTTTACTGCATCTGTTATGTTTCTTTCAGGCGTTTTTGATAAAATCAAAGAGGAGACTACAACAAACGCGATATGATGAAATCTTCTGGAGTTGAGAGGTCTTTGCAATGAGAGGGAATTCACTGACATCTAATTTTTAAAAACATGGCTAAAAAAACTGACCAGCATTTGTTTGCATATTTTGTTAATTTCTGTTTGTTTGTTGTTATTGTTGTTTTGAGTGGGAAAGATAGATGTTTGTCCCTGTTTTACCCTATTACTTAATTTCAGTTGAAAGAATCCAAATAGACATTTTTCTCTCAAGAATGTTTTTTTTCCCTGACAGTCCTGGTACGTTTTTAGTATGCTTTTAAATTCCTATCTAGCATGCCCAGGAAAGAATGCCAATTACTTGCTCGAATAAATATCTGTCAGCATTTGAAGCACACTGACTGGGAATCTGCTGTTATAATAATTTTTAGTAAAATCAAGCTAGTGGTCTATTATCAATGCTGCGTTCTGATTGGTTGAGCTACTACTAGGCTATATGTTATAGCCTACTAGTAGCGAAAAGCACGCGCTTTTTGGCGGCAAAAAAGGATTTTTATTCTCGATGTTTTTGACCAACTAGTTGGATTTTACTAACACAATTATTCCTCTCGTCCTCATGGTCTCTGAGTCAATAGCCCATGCATGAGGCCGAAGGCCGAATGGGCTATTGACTCAGAGCCCATTCGGGCTCGAGGAATAATTGTTAAATATCCAATATACTTTACAAAAAGGGAAAAAAATCGTCCCATGACACAGGCTCTGGATACTTTTGCCTCTTATAACCCAACAATCCTCTTCATTTGGTTTAAATTCGATAACAGACTAATTTTACCAGTGCATGAAGGGGTTAGATTTTATCCAGACCTATAGTATTGCCTTGCTGTGAAAGCAAATAAAAAAAGTCTGATAAAGTAAACTGGTCATGTGACCTTAAATAGCCGACTTAGCGAATGCCAACCTTTTGTCAGAGTAAATGCGAAGGGCTAACGTTCGGCGATGAGAAAACACTGTTACAAGGATACTGGGTATGTTCTTTGTCTAAGAACTCAGACTCTCTCACCTTTTTAATCATAACTGTGTTTGGGGTGCAAATGGCTCTTTTGACAACCTCGTCCCCAGGGCACTTTTCACTGGCTTAGGGAAAAGCGCGCTGGAGACGAGGCTGATATTTTGAACAAGGGTAAGAAAAATCCAGCGTTTCCTTTTTCTACGACCGCACGAACACCCAGTTATTACGACCAATCAAATACCACATGAGTAGCTATCCCTTCATTGGGACCACCACGTCAATACGACCACATTTCCATGGCCCACTCATGGTACTACGAAAAGGGTTCCACTGAAGGAAGGTGCGCTTTCATTAGTTTAACAAAACAACAGATAAGGGACCAAATAAATGCCTTTAACCTTTTATTCAACTTGAAACGATGCAGGTCATATGGACCAACGAATATAGTAGTCTAGAAGAGCTGCAGAGTCTGCAGACCACACATTCTATAAAAAAAAAGAATTCAAAAAAATCAATTTGCCTAGTGTTCGATAGTTTTTTGGAATAAGATGAGTAGGTTTACTGTTTTACTAAGTTGAAGGTGTCGTATTCACAATAAAAACATAACCGGAACGCTTTAAAGATAATTACTTTTCTAATAGGGAATGTCTGCTTCCTATATGCAAATATCAAAATACAGTACAAACTTATCGTCAACACCTTTTAATTTTAACCCGTGAAAATATGCGCAGATCAGGGTCCGAAATTGCGACCAGCTGGTCGCCAATGCGACTGAAAATTTAGCGTTGGCGACCAGAATTTCAAGGCCAGTCGCCAGCAGGCGACTAACTTTTAGCATTGTGTCATTATTTTGAACCACTGCTCAAGGAATTAAATCGAAAAATTTCACGTTTGANGCAGATGTGTTGAAAATTCCCCTGTCACTACTAGTATTCTTTTGGAGTACCAAATGTTCATTTAGGGCAATGTTCATATGACCTTGAAATGAAAACGCGCGAACAAAACAGAAACAAAAAACCAACGGAAATAGAGCGATTTGATTGGTTTATAGAAAGGATAGAAACGCGCGTGGCTTTTGGTTCGTTACTTAAACGAACGCTCGGGTGAAAAAAACTTCATGCCCGAGAACTGCAGAAATGAGTGTTAATGATATATGAAATAAATCATATATGAACTGCGGAAATGAAATGAAAATGAAGAAATGATCGTCGCAGTGAACGCAATCTATGCAATTGCGTAAAGAAGCCAGAAAAAGCTTCATTTCTTTCACGGGAACATATGAACCCACAATTGACCTGCTCCCAACGTCAGTGGCTTCATATCTCAGTTGGTAGAGCATCGTACCGGTGATTTATATGATTTATTTCATATATCATTAACACAATAACTCCTAAGTAACTAACAAGCCCAATAGTACCGGCTTTTAAGCTATTTCAAAATAGCCAAACCTGGACATGTTTGGGTTAGCTGACCGTCCCGAATAAATACAGGCAAACTCGCTGTGGGTAGTGTTTTGGTATCACTAAACCTAACGCGGTAGCGATCGACAAGAAGCTTAAAGCCAATGAATAACTAAAACGCTGGTTAACAAACCTTAACGGGAAAATCAACAGGACTGAAGAATCTGAGCTCCTAAATACCCCACCCTGTGTAAAACTCACATTTGGCAAGGCCAAGACAAGAATACAGTAAAAACCGGGTAAAAAAACCGCGAGTACGAACCTTTCCAAAGTAAGCCTAAAGAGGTTCTTAAATAAATTGTAATTAGCCCGCCAAACTTAGTGTTTTTAGTATTTAGTGGTATTCAACTTATTCCTTACATAAAATCTACAGACCATTTCGTTACAGTTGAAGTGATAACGGCCATGTCTCAAAAGAGGATCCTGAATGTTGATTAGAAATTAAGAACCTGTTTAGAATTTTAGGCTAAACAGGTTCTTGTAAAAAGGGGACCTACAGTAGCTGGCAGATTTTAGCCTAACCGCAGGTTTTTAAAAACCAGGTTCTTACTCGCTGGTTTTTACTGTATTGAATGGAAAGTAAATTCTCGAGCCAAGCATAAATTGAAGTACGATTAAAACCATAAGTTCAAAACAGGACTAACCTTGTTCCACTCAATGAAACAAGCACGACCTTAAAAATAGCCATTAAATGCTTCACAATAATACTTAGAAATATGAAAAACAGCGAGGTTGTGCTGATGCGAGGGTGAAACGCAGTAATGTTATAAGCCTTTGAGATCATTCAATGTGGTAACTAACCTTTTAAAAAGAACTAACCCTGTCTTGTCGTATCAATGATCCTACTTTATTGCTAACCTAATTGCTTTGAAAGAATGGTCAGGTTCGATCCTTTGCGCTGCAAATCCTATGGATGAACTGGTTTGACAGAAAGAATCAGTCTTGTTTACATGGTAATTATCCTCACCTTGCAGCTTTCACTCTCTCCTCCGACTATTACAGCAACCTGACCCTCCATGGTCACTGTGATTCCTCCCAGCCAATGAGTGTTTTCTTCATCGAACTGAATCCTTCGTACAAACTCTCCTGCGGTGGTGAAAACTTCCATTATCAAACAAGACGTCTCTCTTTCGTACCCGGCCACAACAAATTGTTCACCTGTAGGATGGAATGCAGCTCTCAAATAGTGATCTCCACGAATGTCGACAGTGATTTTGGCTTTTTGTTTTCCCTTTAGAGTGAAAAGGTAGACGCTACACTCATCAGTGTCCATGATCATAACGTGGTCCCCAGTGGCAGTAATATCTCTTGGACTTGTAAGCAGTCCCCCACCGAAGCTAAGAACAAATCTTCCATCGCTTTTATACACTTCTACCACATCTCCAGATCCTGATCCTCTTAATATCAGGATGTTTCCGCTACAAATTGTCAGCTTACCCTGTCCCCACGGCCCTTTTTTCACAGAAAACGTGCAAAGAAGGGAAGTTGTTGCGTTGAATTTTCTAACTTCCAGCTCATTTTCTTTGGTCCGGGACTTCTTACGTCCGATCAGTACATAGCTATTGCTATATTCGTCAGTAGCAATATCAAGGATATGCAGCTCTGTATTGTCATCATCACTTTGCAGATAAACGCAGCTTTTGAAGTCCCCGTTGCTGTCAAACATCTTGATTGATTTATCCCCATCGTCCGCAACAATGAGCTGCTCGTGCGTATTCGTAGCGATACCCACAGGACTTTTTAATATTTGTTCCTTTTCACCCTCCTGACCAAACGACCACGGTTTGACGAAACAGTGTTCCATGCCTTGTTTTCGTAGAAGTTTTGTAAGTCTTTCGTCACGAATCGGGTCAATTTTCTCTTTGCCCGTGTCAACGCAAGGCCATTCTCTTAGGCCAAACCCAACCATGAGGGTGACATCGTAAATAACTCGATTAAGATGGCAGACGGCAGATATGACTTTTCGCCTTTCGTCTTTGCTAAATCTGGCCCGGAATCCTTTATTGAGCTGCACGTCAAAATACTCCTTAACAGCGGTCAAAGAGTGCAGTTCCTCCAAGCAAACTCTACATGCTGGCAGTGCATCTTCGGGGCTTTCACAATTCTGTAGTATTGTTGCCATAACTCGATACTGCATGCCTAGAATGCGATCACGCAAATCCAGTGCCTCATTGGCAAAGGCATCTCTAGCTTTCTCACGGGCGTATTCAAACCTCTTTTTCGCGATTTCTAGTGTTTTTCTAACTGATTTATCCCGCAGGTCTGTCTCATCTATGAAATTCATTCGTCTCGTGAGAGTTCTTATCTCCCTTCCGTCTTCGCCACCCGTGACTTGATCAGTGCTAACATCTTCAAATTCGACTATTGTCTTTGATCTGCCAAACACTTCATACAAATAATGGATACCTTCTGCAAATGAGCTGAAGCTTGATAATAAGTCCTTTCTTGCTAGTCCATCCAACTTGGATTTGACATCGTCAATTTCGCGCAAGATCAAGCGACGGAATTTCTGATCAACAACATCACCTTCTTTAAGCTTTTCCGCTGCAGTTGCTCTTCCTTTTCGTAAAAGCAAACCGATTGTTGCTTTGAACACTGTTGTCACTATTGCAGACATAATAATATCTCATGTAAAATAACACAGAAAATGCTGTGTCAAATGTGTGTAAACCATCCTATATACGTGACGGCGAAACTTGGGTTCTTTAAGGAAGTTCTGTTAGTTATATCAGGTTTAGCAATACGGTGATTAGACGTCACAGTCGAATGGTTCCCTCGTGAATGGCACATGTCTCTGCCTTAAGGGTTCAATTCAATCAATCAACGGTCAGCAATGATGATGGGCGCGTTTTTTGAAGCTGTAGTTTGCGTTATTTGTGGCCTTTTGGCCTCTTTAAATACTTTAGTTTTTTTCGTGTAAGAGTTCCTGTGTAAGAGTTCCTGTTGCGCGTGTGTGTGCGTGCGTGCGTACGTGTTTGTGTTTTAATGAACATCAAAACTACAAAAGAATAAAGTCAATCTTGTTAAAGAGCCACGATTAGTTTCACTATAATGTGCCCTTCTCCATTCTAATTTTCTTCTTTTATTATTATTATTATGTACACGTAGTGAAGGCAACTTTGTACCAATTGATATTGAACAACTATTGTATTATTGTACAACTTATGTATTATAGGATGGAGTAAAAATAAAATACAAATACAATGCAATCAATCAATCAACTTTATTTAAACACGGTAAATGGCTCAGCATGCTGGTTTTCAGACATGCCGTATGACAATCACAAGTTATAAATATTGAAACTAGTAATCAACTAACAATAATTTAGCAAAAGAATCAACAATTTTATCTATTTCTGTCGACTCTTATGAATGCGACTATCTAGTTTTTACGCAGAGCAAGAGTAGCTCCCCCAAGAGAGGCTATTTTAGAAAGATTCACAGCCTGTCGTCAATTTGACTTGTCAGTACCAAAAATGCATTAACCTCGGTTGATTGTTTGGAATATCATATCAGTATTATTAAACAAGGCATTATAGACATAATGTCGCGTGCATATCTGATCACAGTCGTAGCAGTAAAAGTGTACCTACACTGTACAGTTATGCGAGTTTCTGATATGAGAAGAGACTACCACTTACATTTAGGGTCCATTTTGCCTTTAATATTGTTGAAAAAGAAAGTGTTTTTTTTAAAAAAAGGATTACAAAGCCTGTTGTGGTTGGATTTGCCTCGAAATACATTGACCTCTTGGTTTATTTTTTGGACTATCTAACAAGGCATACAAATGTCGCGATTAAAATGCCGTAGCTCAGAGTAAAAATGTTACTTTAATACTCGTCAAATTTCGTTCAAAAACTAGGCTAAAACTGATTTCTCGTGTCAAGCCTTCTCCAACAACTATTTTGACTTTTCCATGTGTGTAGTTCTTTTCCCGTTTCCCAATATTGATATTTCCGTTTATTTGCAAATGGATACAATACTCCAATTTGCATTAGGGAGGACGCAACGTGACAAGGGGCGCTTTCCATTTAGGAAAAAAACCCGGAAATTTCGGTGGGAGCAAAAGTGGAATTTCCGATAGGTAAAAAGTTGTTCCATTTGGTCGTAAACCTCGGTACGTCGAGGTGCCCGACCGTGGACCTCAGGAACTGGTACAAACTACGAGAAACGTAAATGGAACACGACATTCCGTTCGGAAATTCCAACCGGGAAAACGGGCCCACCTTTTTAGATTTTCCACTTTTTCTGGGAATTTTCCAGTGGGGCGAACCGACGAAACGTGTTCCATTTACGACCGAACCGAAAATTCCGGAAATTTTGACTAAATGGAAAGCGCCCAAGAGTTCCAAGAAATGTGGTAAGAATTGCAACGTAATGAAGGCATACTGTCACGGGGAGAGACTACTAGTCGTATTAAGGGCCCATTCTGGTTGCATAATCTGATCAAACCATATGAAATTTATGAAAAATAGGTAGTAAAAAATGGCAAAATGGGTACAGAGGCAGCATTGAATTTGAGATATAGCAGTGTATATAGTTCTTGTCTACAAGAGATTCACTTCAAGTACCTGAAAATACCAACTTATTCCTTGTTGTCTCGTGTGTGTCACCTGACAGTTCCTCTATTTTTAAGACATTATCCAAACTATCCAAAAATTAAATTCCACCGTGTCTAAGTGGGGCTTCTAATCATCAGCAGGTTTTATTAAGGTAAACTCGGCTTGAATATTCTTAAGAAAAAATGAAGGCATGAGATCACTATTCTCTGAACCAATATTATTTAAGTCCTTCTCGTAGTGCATGTCAAATCGAGACATTTTTTGCGGTATTTTCTATTTTAGGCACAGAAACTTATATTAAAGATTCACGGAATGAATCATCATTTCACCGGGAGTGAAAATAACAAACTGGAAGTGTTACTCATATAACAGCGTTCATCTGCGCACAAAGTACGTAGTTAATTGCGTGGAGTGTGATTGTACGGTGAAAACTTGAAAATGGGCAAGGATATGTACGAGGAATAGAAAGAGGGAAATGTGCTTGAGGTGAATGCGAGGATTTCATGAGGTCAGATGGAGCAACTTGTGGCTATTGTGGCTGTTTACCGACTTGCCATTCTAAAAAGATGCCTGCTACTCCTCTAACTCTGTTGGTGGCACATCGGTTGCGGGAAAAAGTGAAAGTGCAAGTCCAGAGAAGTGGAAAGATAAGACCTAAGGCGGTTCCCGAAGTTGTCGGCTCAAGCCCGAGTAGCTTAAGTGAAGAATCCTCACCGGAGACTGATTTTATACCAGAACCCCGCGCGGAAACATCAAAATATGGGCGAAAGCGACACGGGTAGAGAGACAATTATGTTAGTTGAGAGAAGATAGTTTTTTGATATTCGAAACCTGTAAATAATTTAGATTAATCTTGACTGGTAGCTTTCCTTGTATATACAAAATAAAAGCGACATGGAGTAATTTTTCCTTGCCAAACAAACTGTGACCCTACCCCGGTTGAGAATAAAACAGGATTCAACCTCCCCAATTTGTAAAAAATTTACTAAGGACTCTCCCGTCCCCCCCAAAAAAAAGGAACCTAAGAAAACATTGATAGCTCTCGACCTGCTACTTCGGGAGGCAGAAGCACCTGAGACCACACTTCTGATCCACTTCTCTAGACTTGTTTTTCAGAATAACTTTCTCAAAACCGAATTTTGTGGAGATATTTTTCATCAAACGTTTGGGATCGCTATCTTTCGCAGTCACGGCTGTTAATGCTTTCATGTATTATTTAGAAAAGGATGTTGTCACATAATTTTCTAGTCATCTACTTTTGTACAAGCAGTACAAGCGGTTTATCGATGACACATTTTTTATTTGGAAGGGTCCCAAAGTAAACTTATTAGAGTTTCTTAGTTTCCCGGCAATAGCAAGAATGATCGTATCAAACTTACGTATGTTATTGACGAAAGTAGTATTTCGTTTCTGGATTTATTTCTTTACAAAGATGCTAATTTTAGCGCACTGCAGTTTTCTACCTATCAAAAGCCACTAAATAAGTATCTGTACATTATTCCCGCGAGCAACAAGAGGGCCTTTATTGGACTTAGAGGCGAGCTTATAAGCTTTTAGCGAAACGCGTGGGAAATTCTGGAAGCGTCTCCGGCGTCGCTGTTACCCAGATGGGATTTTACTTCCTTTATTTAGTGAGGTTAAATACAGTAACAGAACTAAATGGCTTTCGCGAAAACACAAATCCCCAAACGTTAGAATGGTAGTGTTTAATTCTACATTTAACTGCAGTCACGCTAACAAGCGGGTCATCCAGAGATATTTACCAGACTTAGACTGTCTACTTGACTACTTAGGCACATCTATGTAAATAGCTTATTTTTGGTGGCACACGATTAGCGCTAATCGTATGGCCCCAAGCATATAACAACACGCAATATCATATGTATTAATGCTTTTCTTATAACGTCCGTTTACAGCATAGTTCAGTTATTATTCACTTCTACCGGAAGTTTTACTTACACACAAAACTTGTTATATATGCTGTTCTTTGTTAATTGTATTCATTCCATGAAGAAGTCTCAGTAAGAGACGAAACGCATCGGAAATAAAGGTTCGACAGAAGTATCAGTTTATCTGCCCTTTAGCCTTAACATCTTCGATGGATCAATTCAGCACCATCAACGTTGTTTGGGTTACTCGATGACACTTTGATGACCTGTATTGTGAGTAGAAGGGGACAACAATACTTTGCTTTTCCCCACAATTTGGCCATGTGACAGGCTGCATGCTTTCTATTTCCTTTTTGTTACCATTTTCTTGTTTATTTTCTTCAACACTAATGTCAAAAGCCTCATTAGTCTGTGAGAGGATCGTAGCAGTGTGGTTTCCCTTTTCCACAATTTGCAACTGTGTGGCAGGCTGTTCACTATTATCGAGAGTAATATCAGTAGCCCCACTGTCTTGTACAGCAGCAGCGATAGAAGGCATTTCGATATCTCCGGTATCTCCTTGGTTGTTCATTATATTTTCTCCCACCAAACCATCAATGTCCCCAGACAAACTAAGAAAAGGCAGGATCAAGGAAAGACAGCAGGAAAATGACCACCTCGGATTTTTATACCATTTCTTGAGGAAGGCACACAGATGCAACATGTACTGAACTGCGAAACAAAAATTTGTTCTCTACTTAACTAAACTCTCCGAGCATGTGTAAAAATGAATCTGTGTTCAAATGTCGTTATAGCTTTTGAATCTTTACACGCTTAGCTATATATCGAGTAGAATTTTATAATTTTAATTTACTTTAGATCTTCTTCCAGTGGACATCATAAAAATAAGGATATCAACCGGCACGGGGACATCGATTCCGATTCAAGTTATATTTTGAAATCGTACTTCTCAAATTGTTTATTATCCTATTAACTCAATTGGATGATTTTTAGGATGACTTGAAACGGTTGTGGTGCTTTATAGAAACTTGCATTCTGTGCAAATCCGCTTTAAACGTTACCTCATTTTGATATCCCCCGATGAACTTTTTATCAACATTGTCTGTACAATGAGATCATCCTGTAGCATGCCGTAAGATTCTGAAAACAAGCCCCTCCATGTATAAGCCTCTCCAAATACAAGCCCCCCAAACCGTCCCTGGGGGCTTGTACTTGGAAAATTGCCCTCAAATACAAAGTAAAACAAAACAAATGTTGTCGGCTCAAGCCCGAGTAGCTTAAGTGAAGAATCCTCACCGGAGACTGATTTTATACCAGAACCCCGCGCGGAAACATCAAAATATGGGCGAAAGCGACACGGGTAGAGAGACAATTATGTTAGTTGGGAGAAGATAGTTTTTTGATATTCGAAACCTGTAAATAATTTAGATTAATCTTGACCGGTAGCTTTCCTTGTATATACAAAGTAAAAGCGACATGGAGTAATTTTTCCTTGCCAAACAAACTGTGACCCTACCCCGGTTGAGAATAAAACAGGATTGAACCTCCCCAATTTGTAAAAAATTTACTAAAGGACCCTCCCGTCCCCAATAAAAAACGTACCTGCCCTAAGAAAACATTGATAGCTCTCGACCTGCTACTTCGAGAGGCAGAAGCACCTGAGACCACACTTCTGATCCACTTCTCTAGACTTGTTTTTCAGAATAACTTTCTCAAAACCGAATTTTGTGGAGATATTTTTCATCAAACGTTTGGGATCGCTATCTTTCGCAGTCACGGCTGTTAATGCTTTCATGTATTATTTAGAAAAGGATGTTGTCACATAATTTTCTAGTCATCTACTTTTGTACAAGCAGTACAAGCGGTTTATCGATGACACATTTTTTATTTGGAAGGGTCCCAAAGTAAACTTATTAGAGTTTCTTAGTTTCCCGGCAATAGCAAGAATGATCGTATCAAACTTACGTATGTTATTGACGAAAGTAGTATTTCGTTTCTGGATTTATTTCTTTACAAAGATGCTAATTTTAGCGCACTGCAGTTTTCTACCTATCAAAAGCCACTAAATAAGTATCTGTACATTATTCCCGCGAGCAACAAGAGGGCCTTTATTGGACTTAGAGGCGAGCTTATGCGCTTTTAGCGAAACGCGTGGGAAATTCTGGAAGCGTCTCCGGCGTCGCTGTTACCCAGATGGGATTTTACTTCCTTTATTTAGTGAGGTTAAATACAGTAACAGAACTAAATGGCTTTCGCGAAAACACAAATCCCCAAACGTTAGAATGGTAGTGTTTAATTCTACATT